TAGAAAATTCTCTTGATACCCATTGCCAAGAATTCTGTGGTACAAGAGATGACAGTTATGATGAAATTCAGCCACGTTGGAACATATTAAAGCGAATCTTTTCAGCTGAGAATTAACAACATTCTTGATTATATGACATGGGATGATACTTTTAGCATTTGGTTGGCTAGGAAATTCAAATTCAAAATCCCTTCTTTTATCATAAATATTAGTGACAAAGCAATTACAGATGTTATCGATTATCACATTCATATCTAAGTCTTCATAAGCATAATTCATAAGCAGTCTTGTATGGAGGCGAAACCGTTTCCTTTTATTCTTGGCAATCTAGATGAATGTGCCTGATTTCTGCCGGAATAGAAGCATTGTTGATAGCTACTAGATCGCCGATATATCGGAATGTGAATGTGTATGCTTAATAATATATACATACAGACATAATAGAAGAGGGTTTCTCGGATTCATTGCCCAAGCAGCATGTTTATGGAAACAAAATATCAATTATTTGCAAACAATGTAAATTTCTTGTGATTTCCATGAAAATGACATCACGTTTGCGCAAAATTTACATTTCCATATTTGTCACCAAAGTGTATGTGCATTTTACGTAAACTAGACGTCACTCCATTTGATGTGAAGCACATATCACGTTTATGCAAAATTAACGCCACACCATCCATATGAAACTTTACCTGACCATCCTTCAATTGCAGTACGAAGACTCCTCACTAGATGGAACCCTTGTTCCCTGCATCCTATTATTACTATAAAGTACTAGTTTACCCGATATAGTATCAAGTTTTCTTACTATCTTTCCACCTTTTATTCTGCAATCCAGGAATATATATATGGAAAACATGAAATTATTATATATTTGACAAATAATATATGACTCTGGGAATCATTAAATGTTGAAGTTAAGCTTTTTATTACAGCAGTACAACGAATTAGGTAAAAGTAGAATCCCAGCCCGACAAGTACTAAATTTCTCTATCCTATAAAGAAGAGAGCACCTTGAAACTTTTATTCCTCCTCCCGAGGTTCCGTTACAGGAGGAGGAAACAGTAGGTCCCTTTAGTACTCTAGAGTGCTCGTGAAGATGAGTACTCGTATACTCGTCCAGCCTCCCTAGAGTTCTGAAGAACGAAAAGGAATAGGAGATTCAGTATATCAATTCTCTTCAAAGTTATTGATTGGCTCGTTAAATACGCATGAATGCCAAGGGAAAATTAACACAAATCTTACGTAAAATGAATGTAAACATGCTGTTTAAAATGCAAACGGGAATGTCAATTTTATGCAAAATGTACGATAATTTTATATCACCATTTACGTATTACAGAGGTGACATTTCTGCAAACATGCTGACATTTTCTTGACAACGGTTTGCGTAAAAATGATGTAAAATGGACAAAACATTTACATTCTGTTTATGTAAAATTAACATACACATACTGTTTGGCTGCATGTAATATTTTGCTGTTACTTTTCACGATCCAGCAACAGTGGCATGATTTACATCTTGATTCTATCTTATTGCTAAGTCTGTCGAGAATGCCATTTAAACGAACCGAAGACCCTTTAAAGCAAGTGCCCACTGAACCTGCTGTGAATGGAAATTGAAGGTCCAAACATGTCTGAAAAGTAGATTCATAAGACGCGCCATTTTAGAGATGCTTTAGAGAGATGGAACGTTACCTGACCTCCTGGGAGAGGTGAGATTGGGGATGGTTCTATTTGAGGGAATATGAAACTAAAATGAAGCCGCACAGCTTCAACATTTATACCACCGGTTAGGGTGGAATCTAGACTAAAAATATTTCCAGAAAGTGATTTTTCTTCAAGTGTGTCACTGTCGAGATGCATGGAGGAGAAGGATAGCGCCTGATTGAGCGGGAGGTAGATTATGGAGGCATTATCCCTGGTGCACATATATCTCACTTAAATATTGTCAAAAATAAAAAGTATACTACTGGCTAGGGCAGACTCTGTACTGGAAATCTTGTTTAGGCAGAATTTTCCAAAACTGAAACGTTTTCGAGATAAAGGAGGGAGAAGCGAGTCAGCTCTTCACTGCCCAATGTTGAGTAAGGAGCACGTGGTATTGTTTCCCGTACTCCCCGTCTGCAACCAATCAGGAAGCGCAAGTGCCATCTGTTCCTGCGCGTGACTTGGACTCAGTATAGTTAGTTATAAGTATTTGCTAATTTTGCTGTTCGACTGGTCGAATCAAAACAACTCGGAAACAGTTCGCCCCATTAACACCATAATTAGTAACTAAAAAAGCGACGATGCAATCGAATCTCAAACGAGGAATAAAGATTCAAGTTGACTTCAAAAATTTTGTGGGCATGTACTTCACTGAGGATGGTTTTCGATTAAAAAAAAGTAGGTGAAAAAGGCGTATTTCCATGAATTTTCTGATCAAGCAAAACAGAGGGAGCAGGAAAGTTAAAACTTGGCAAGTACATGATGGATAGCTGAGTAAATAAAAAAAATCTACTTTTGTTATATGTAGAAGATCGTGTGTAGCTGACATAAGTTGCTATTCCCATGCTGAGTTAAGGAAAAGTTCTACTTTGGTGATACATGCAATAGGGACACACCGTTGGGGGAACAAATTTTCAAATTGTTCTCTCTACTTCAATCAAACGGAGACACATGGAAAGATGAAACTTGGCAAGAACGTGACTGTTGACGCACTGAGCTCAAATTTCAAACGCCAAATATCCAACATATTTTCTTCGTGTTCATATTTCTTGGGATGTAACGTTTTCAAATAAGTTTCATATCCTACCAAATCGGGCAGAAATATAAAAGTAGCTGCAGCGCGCACAACGAACGTGATGTAGTTTTAGGGAAAATCCAACTTTTGCTGTGCGTCTCCTCAGAGCATAACTTTTGGGTGGGTCGCTTTTCTGAATTCATCGTCTTCCGCCAGGAAAAAGAGGAAACGTATGAGGCTGAAACTGGATGGCTTGGAGTTCTTAGTGTCTACATTTCATAAGAAGTAAAATTTTCGTGAAAACCCATCAGGGCACTTTTTTCATTCCTATTTTCCGGAATGTTTTTTTGATCCAACGAAGCAAACACAGACAATTTAAGCTTCCATCAGTAGTACCTGTTTGATTCATTAGTACAGAGAAATTCCTACAATAGAAATATGCCTTCTTAGCGTAAATTATAGGAGGGAAGTATTTCAAAATGTATTCTCCACCCTTTCAAAAAGGGACATGTGAAAATATTTTAAGTTGGGCACTCTAGAAATAATAGAAGTAATGATTTTGATGAAAATCAAGACTTTCGTCCCCATTTGTCATGTATGTCAATGGAGACGTACTTAAAAGACGTATTTCCCATTTCGCAAAAAATTAATGAAGTCATGACTAACCAAGGTAATGGAGCACAGATGGCGCGACCATAGCGATTGTATATGCACGAAGGGCAAACAAACTAGATAGTATTGGAGATACATGTTGCACCACCAACGCACCACACGGAATACATACACCGCATGGATCTGGACTCGAAGAATGAAGCAAATGATTACAAGGGAATCCCTTTGAGACGCACGAGCTACTAGCCTGGTCGGAGGGATGGTGAAAAGACGAAAAGGTCATGCACTCAGGCGGGTGAGTGTGAATCCCTCGGCTGTGATTGCATTGACTCGAGGGTTGGGGGGGGGGGGGGGGGGGGGGGGAAGGAAAGGGGGCAGATATATGCTGAGGTACATGAAAAGAGATCGGTGTCCCACGCTCCCAAAAAGGGATTCTTGCCTCGACGCATTCCTTGCTTTCATTCTGACTCGGAGAGAACAAAAGGGTGAAAGAAGGAATTTCGCAGCACGGTTTCCAAGATGGTATCAACATGGTATCATGTCGGTGAATTATCTTTTTGCCATGATCCATTCATCAAGCCGTAACATTTTGCTTTCATTAGACCCATGGAATACGTGCTAGGAGTGTTTAGCGATCCCATTCCGTCACGAGCAGACGAATTTCTAGGAAACGTGAGTCTTTCCGATCCGATCATCTCTGCTTTCTCTGATCGCGACGATTCCCATTGGCTAAGGATCTTGCAGACGAAAGAAAGATCGAGTTCATGACTGGAAGGGGAGAGTAGAACGATTCTCACCCCCCCCCCTCCCTCCCCCCAAATCTGGAATTGCCCTGGGTATCCCCGGTCTGGCACATTTCTTCAGATAAACTGGTCCAGAAATTCCATTGTCATTCGCTACGATCGATGTGAGGAGCCGCTGTGTGTCAAAGATACAAGGGACTCATTTCATTCGTGTCAGGGAGCGACTCGCTGTTACGTCTTAGGCGGCATCTCACGCCGGTTTTTTAAATCTTCGTCGTCATGGTAGTTACGAGATGGCTTGCCTGAAACCTTTTGGTTCGACTTTGGGGCTTCCGCGTTGGGGCATTTGCACTTGCGCTGCTGATGCCACGTGCGGCTCGGTGAAGAGACGATGCATGGGGTAAATACGGCACATGGGTGATTTGGCCGAAGATATCCAGAAATTCTCGCCAGTTTTCTGAGATTGTCTGCAGACGTCAAAGTTCCTTCCGATCGCGATAAAAAGGGGCGGCCTTCAATGTCTTATGAAAAATCTAAATTTCATGTTACTCTATTGATATTGTATACGATTGTAGGTCGGTATAAAAACTGAATAGAATATCTCACAATGTGGACGTCAGAACGTCAGAACACGTCAGACGTCAGAAAATTTTAACTCGTTATTCAGAATGGACTCAGTTGCTGTGTGACGTTCATTATCCGAGATGCACTAAATTTCGCCCTGCTCAATTTTTGCCTTTCAAATAACCTATGACCCTATAGAGAGCTTCCAGTCATCTTCCCTTCGATCGCCAAAGTCGAAATTTTAGAGCGTGCAAACGTCGAAAAACTACACCACGATAGGAATAAAAATATTTAATTACTGCACAAGGGGACACACACGACAACGGCAAGCACAGATCACCATCTTCCTTTTGATTCTATGGAATTCGGGCCGCGAGGGCCGGGAGCAGCCCCGCGAGGAGGACCTCCCGCCCGGGCCAGAGCACGCTGGCGGCTGCCGTCGGGAAGTCGCGGTTGCAGCCGTGCCGATTGCAGCACTGGGAGCAGACCAGGTTCCGGATGCCGAAGCCGCGTAGTCTGCAGCCGTAGTAGCAGACTTCCGTGCATTCTCGTCGCAGCTGCGTGAGGACCCCGTTCACCTGGGTCACCTCCACCTAAGAGAAATCCGCACGCTGACTCAAATCTGTCGTTACTGCAGGCTTGCTGTATGTGCCATTGCGTTGAGCATCTATACGGGCCATCCGTAAAGCTCATTCCAAAGAAATAATGAATAAATATATGGCCGAGTCCCGTCCTGGCATCACGCAAGGTATATTCTAAAAGTAAGTGCTTGTGTACGAATACGTGATCGGTGGGCTTCCACCCATCATTACAAGTATACTTTTGGTTTCCAGACTGGTATGTCTTGTGCTTACAGGTAAAATGTTTAAATTATTTCCTTCCTATTTGAAATGACGTTACAAGTCCATTTACGGTACTTTTAAGAAAATATTTCGTTTAAACACGACGCTCTTCCTGCTCACCACTACTTATAAAAATATAATTATCAATTAACACGGTGCGTTCCGGATAGGATTGAAGGAACTCACTTTGCAGTAGCGATCCTTGATTCCACATCTGACGACGTAGGCCCTGTCTAGAGGCGTGTGTCTTCCGAGGCAAGGGTGATCCATGTCGTATTCGAACTCGCGGAAGTCCAGGTTGCAGGCGAAGCAGCTCAGGTTCCCGGGCACGATGTCGTCCAGGCGGAATTCTGTCGTCGAGGTACTAGGGGTTGCTGTGGGGTGGGGGTCAGAGGGGGATCGGTCATTAGCGGGGGTCATCACCTCTCTCACGGTCGGGTGCCTGCCAGGGGTAGGGGAGGTTGTCGGGGGATGGGGTGTCGCGTGGGTCGTCCCGAGTCGTCTCGTGGTCGTGGGAAGGGGTGTGGTATGGGTCGTCCCTGGGGTGGCTTCTTTCGTGGGGGTGGTTGTGGGAAGAGGTGGAGTGTTTGTCCTCCCTAGTTCTCGTGGATCGGTGGGAGTCACCGTAGAATGGGGGACGGCGTGTGTCATCGTCTGTTGTGAAGAGGGAGTCGGGAAAGTGCTGGTGGGACGGGTTTCAGTAATTAATGTCGTTCGTGATGGATGTGGCCCAGCTGGAGTTGAAGATGCCACCGGCGCTGTCTCACGAATTGTGCTCGTTCGAGGTGAAGAAGGCCAGGAAAATTCCCATTCTCCTGGTTGACTGATGGTACTCGGGATCGTCGGGTTCGTGGGAAACGCAGGCGAACTGCCATCATCGCCCGGGGAAGTTGTCAGCATTTCCTTCTCAGAGGAATTACGTAACGTTATGGTCGTGCTATTTCGCTCATGGATGCTGTCTCTACTCGGAGTGTCGGATTGCGTTGGGTCGACGTGGACGGTCGATGGGGGTTCCATGCTCCCCGAGCTTCCAGCTCCTCCTGAACCCTCCGACATCGACGAATACGGCGTGGATGCTGGCACCCCCCGCGAATTCTCCAAGTCTGTGGATGCCAAGGAGACCTCCCGTGGTGTGCTCGTGACCTCTGCAGTGAAACTGGATACGAAGGTGCTATCACGTGAGGTTGGGCTGAGCAAAGTGAAAGGGACGGTCATCGAAGAAGAGGCAGTGTCTTCTAGAGTATCAACAGGAGTATTTTCTCTCGTATATGTGACATGTGATGTGTCGGACGGAGCAGAAGGGTGAAGAGGTGAAGGGAGTGGTAACGATGAGGGCGACGATGAGGGCGACGATGAGGGCGACGATGAGG